GTTTAGGCAGCCCTACGCGCTGCGTGTAAGGAGCCTGGCCGAAGAAACAGGTGTGCCTCTTCTTGAACCCAGATTGATGGCTCCTGCAACATATCTGCCACCGTGGCAGTGGCAGCTTATAGACTGTGATATCTCTTTTGTTGATGTCACAAAGCGCGCACCACTTGCACACATACATACATACTTCCTAGAACTACAACATAAATACACATGCCCTGAGTTCTTTACCGATGCGTCAAAGTCAAACACTTCTGTGTCATATGCAGCGGTAGGCCAATCCTTTTCCGAGGCTGGCGTTCTTCATCCTAATGCAAGCATTTTCACATGAGAAGCTTACGCAATACTGGCGGTCGTAAAACAAATTAAACAGATAAAATTAGGAAAGGCGGTAATATGCACAGATTCCCTAAGCGTGGTCAAAGCCCTGAAAACACCTAAAAACACAAGAACATCATGCTGGTGTCAGTTTACTCACTTCTGTGCACACTCTACACATCAAAACAGCATGTGTTTGTCTGCTGGGTTCCAGGGCACCATGAAATACAAGGTAACGTTTTGGCCTACAATCTGGCTGCTTGCGCCAATGTCACTACTGCCAATGCATCAACACCAGTCCCTGCACTTGACTTAAAACCTTTTATAAAACAAAAGCTCAGGGAGTATTGGCAGAGGATGTGGGATAAACACACAGATAATAAACTCCATGCTATTAAACCGCAACTAGGTTATTGGCCGCCACTATCAAAATCACGACACACAGAAGAAATACTAACAAGGCTTAGAACAGGACACACACATTCCACACACTCATTTTTTCTGTCTTCCGGTGATCCACCATATTGTGAGAGATGTGGAGACCCCCTTACGGTTCTCCACATTCTCGTCCAGTGAAATGTGCTAGATGCTCTAAGAAAAAAGCACTTTTTACTGCCCTACCGACAGCAGCTCCCTCTACATCTTGGGATGCTGATCGGTAGGGATCCGCTTTTTAAACTGCAAACACTTTTTACGTTTTTAAAAGATGTGCAAAGCTTTCACCCGATATTTCGAGGTCACCCGTAGCACGACCTTTATAGTGTGGTTGTGGCTGCGGTGACTATATCTTCATCATGGTTTTATTATCATGACATTTCGCCGTCAGCTATCAAATTTTGCCATCAGCTATCACCACACATATGTCACGCCACTGTCATAATTTTATTACTTTCATGTTTTAACCCGCGTTAGATCGAGGAATTTTAATGCCCCTTTACAGCCACGCACCATATCATTGTTCATATCTGTATTCAATTGAAATGGCACTCTTTGGCCATCAATTGGCCCTTGCGCCACTAAAATCTACTCATCATCATCATCATTTGTGACAGCTACGAAAGATGTGTCACAGTCTATAACCTGCGACTTCCATGGCGGAAGCCGCAGAGCGAGGGGGCTCAGGTGGCATTCAAGCAGCGGGGCATCTATTTCTTCAGCTAGGTCTCTAACACGCAGCGAGAAAGGGCGTGCCATTGCGGGCCGATTGCAAAAAAGTTGAGAGCTAGACAGGTCGTTGATGGTGGAATATGCGGGTTGCTCCCTGTTCGCATTTACTTAAAGGAAATATATAAAGGAAGAATACGTTCTCTGCAGATGGAGTGACCACTCGTCCTCCGATTCCACATAAACGCTTTCAACTGGGCTTCTTCTAAAGGCGCCTGTGGACAGGCGGATGCCTTGATGATGAACAGGGTCCAACATTTTCAGAGCACTTGGCGTGGCAGAGTGATAGACTATTGCCCCATACTCAAGGCGTGAGCATATAAGGCTTCTATACAGATTCATTAGGCACTTTCTGTCACTGCCCCACGATGTTCGTGACAGCACCTTTAAGATATTAATTCTTTTCAAGCATATATTTTTAACATGTTTTATGTGCGGTACAAAGGTTAACTTCACATCTGAAATTGAACCTATGAACTTATGTTCTGTGTTTACGGGTAGACGCTCACCCTTAACGAACATTTCAAAGTCAGGGTGCAAGCCTCTTTTTCTAGAAAAAAGGACACAGGTGCTCTTCTGTGGGTTCAGTTTGAACCCGTTTTTATCAGCCCATTTGGATACCTTGTTAAGGGCAAGCTGAACCTGTCGCTCACAGATCTCAAGAGAACACGATTTAAAACCTATCTGCACAAAGTCGACATATGTTGAATAAAAGATAGTACCTGGGATGTACAGACGGAGAGAATTCATTTTTGTAATAAAGAGCGTACAACTGAGCACTCGCCCTGTGGCACTCCGGTTTCCTGTACAAATGTGCGGGACAGAACATTGCTCACTCTAACGCGGAATGTACGATCAGACAGATAGCTTTCAATGACACTGAACATATTACCGTGTATACCTATGTGTGAGAGGTCTCTCAATATTCTAAATCTCAACGTAGTATCGTAGGCCTTCTCCATGTCAAGGAACACAGATAAGAAAAACTGATTATGAACAAAAGCCTCACGTATGTGTGCCTCGATACGTATAAGATGGTCGGTGGTAGATCGGCCCTCTATAAACCCGCATTGATATGGGTCAAGCAATTTGTTTGTTTCTAGGTAGTGCAGTAAGCGGTAATTGATCATTTTTTCAAGTAGTTTGCAGAGGCAGGTTGTTAATGCAATAGGTCTGTAACTTGATACAGTAAACGGATCCTTTCCCTGCTTCAAAATTGAAATTATAACAGCCTCCTTCCAGAAGGAGGGGATCACACCTGAAAACCATAAGCGATTATAAAGAGAGAGGAGGGTTTCTTTAGTTTCGAAGGGTAGTTCCTTCAGCATCGCGTACATTACATTGCCAGAACCTGGGGTAGATGTACTACAGCAGCTGAGTGCCGTTCGCAGTTCTGCTAAGCAGAATGGTTCATTATATGCCTCATTTCTTGTGGATTTCCTTTCTAACTTTTGTTTTTGTAGTCGTGCCTTGTAATTCTGAAAGGATTCGGAGTAGTGTGAGGAGCTCGATATGTGTTCGAAATGTGTACCAAGAAAGTTGGCTTGATCCTCCAAGCTTTCCCCGAAGCTATTTACTTGTGGAAGGCAATACGTTTGTTGGCCCTTAATTTTCTTTACCTTATTTCACACTTTTCCCTCATCTGTGTATGAGTTGATACTCGATATAAACTTTGTCCAGCTCTTTCGTATAGCTTGTTGACGCTTTCTCCTTGCCTGCGATTTGACCCGCTTAAAATTTTCCAGGTTTTCAGCTGTAGGGGAATCGCGAAGCAAGGCTCATGCTTTGTTCTGAGTGGTTCGTGCTTTCCTGCATGCGCAGTTCTACCATGGGACTCGCCGTTTAGAAGACATGCTGCTCGTTTTGGCAATACATTCAGATGCGTCATCAAGTATAAAAGCTATAAAATACGTGACAGCGTCATCAATGGTCAGTGCAGACAGCTCAGTCCATGTCATGTGTGTAAGAGTTCTATACCCTTCCCGATCAGCTGAGTCAATCTTCCATCGAGGAACCTGCGGGGGTAGTTGATCTTAGTTCGGCGCACTCAGGATGATTAGGAAGTGGTCACTCCCATAAGTGTTTTTAAGAACGTTCCACTTAAAAACAGGATAAGGGACGGTGATGCAATGCTAAGATCTATGGAGAAGTACGTGTTGTTTGCAAGGCTAGATTACGTAGGCTCCTTTATATTTAGGAGACATAAACTAGAAGAGAAAAGGAGCTGCTCAATGAGACGTCACCGCGCATCACAGTGAGCATCGCTCCAGAGGACATTGTGTGCAATAAAGTTACCTAGAACCAAAAACGGCTCTGGGAGTTCATCTATTAACCCTTTGATGCCCACTGTTGCTCTGGGGCAACAACCCCAAAAATAATTTTTTCCGCAAAAGCATGTTGTTGTGTGATACTGCTATCGCCATCTGTGGAAAGAGACAAATTGTACCAAGCGTACTAAGCTTCAAAGAAATACACACAGATGGCAGCATCGCCTTTTTCTAGTACTTTATTGGAGCGTTCGAGACGTGGCAACGCAAGCTCCGCACACGTGAGTAAATTTATTCTACTACAGCGGAACGGGACGCTACCGCGAGCTGTGTTATACTCAAAATTGCGCATAAGGCATTGTGGAACACTTATGAACAGGCTGAATGGTGTGGCCGAATTTTACGCGTTAGAAATCTTCCCTCAAAAAACGCTGTTGCTCACGAGCAACGTCGGGCATTTGAGGAGGTGCAAGCCGATATAGGGCTGGACGCTTGTTCCGTTTCTCTGCTTGACTGAACGCAAAACCAGGCAATAACATAATCTTATCTCTATGAAATACGATAAGTGATAGTTATTGGACAATATTCTTTTGTCTTTATGTATAGATGGCGATGTCAAAAGAAAAGAAATGGCTGACAGATAAAGAAATACAGGAGCTAATATTCCTTCCGGATGGTGAATTATCCGATGTTGATTTTGACAGAGACCCAAATGATCCCGAATATGTACCTAGATATGATAAAAAATTGATTGATTCCTGTCCGCTCGAAGTTGTGATAAATCTTCGCGATCAACATCCGCGAGAAGACCACGACGGAGGAATGACAAGCAACCCTGTTGAAGCTGTTCCGGGAACATCCCGCCACACGGCCGCGCAGCGCAGAAAGATGAAAGAAAGCGTTCGCAGAAAATGGGCAACAAAAGACGTTATGCTTGATGACACAGCCTGGAAGGGTGAGTTGCCCCAACCGCCCGACGATGTGCTAAGTCCGTACCAATACTTTTGTGCCTTTTTCGATGAAGAGATGGTAGAGACACAGTGCTATTAATCAAATCTGTATTCCACCCACAAGAATGGCACCTGTGCAAACATCACCAAGGAGGAGATGAGGAAATATCTCTCAATATTAGTGATTTCAGAGACCGTCAGGGTGCCACATTTCCGAATGTTCTGGCAGTGTGGAACGAGTTTCTAGCCTCTAGTGGACCTCATGTCTAGAAATAGATTCGAGGCCATACATCAATGCCTACATATGAACGACAATTGTCAGGCAAAGCCACGAGACGTTGAGGGCCACGACCGCCTTTTCAAGGTGCGCCCACTTGTGAAACAGCTGAAGAAGAACATGAAGGCAGTGGCCCCAGAAGAACGGCAGAGTGTGGACGATCAAATTATTCCCTTCAAGGGGCGCTCACCGCTAAAGCAGTACAAGAAATCGAAGCCCCACAAGTGGGGCTATAAGGTGTTCACAAGGGCAGGTGTCTCCAGAATTATGCACGACTTCATCATCTGTGAAAGTAAAGGTACTGCTCATGACAATGGATTCGGCATCTCTGGTGATATATTCATTAATCTGGTGAAAGATCTACCGGAAAACACGAACCACAAGTTATTTTTTGATAACTGGTTCAGCAGTCGGCGCCTGGTAGACGAGTTGAAGCGCAAAGGATTTCTGAGTGTTGGTACCGTTAGAGTCGACAGGACGGAGAAGTGTCCGCTGGCACCTGACGCAACTCTCAAGGCGCAAGGCAGAGGCTCGGTGGATTTTCGCGTGGACGAGGACTCTAACACTGGAGTCATCAAATCGTTTGACAGCAACTCCGTACACCTCTTTTCAAGCTACGCTGGTGTCCAACCAACCGACCATTGCAAGCGGTGGAACAGCAAAGAAAAGCGCAGCATTGATGTTCCTCGCCCTTTCGCCGTAAAGGAGTACAATGCCTTCATGGGAGGTGTTGATCTCGCCGACATGCTTATTGAGCTGTACCACGCAAACCACAAATCGAAAAGATGGTACATGCGCATTTTTTACTGGATAATGGATGTTTCTATTGTCAATGGGTGGCTCCTGTATAAACGCCACTGTGCCCAGCTATCTATCAAAAGAATGTTGATGATGATGATGATGAGTAGATTTTAGTGGCGCAAGGGCCAATTGATGGCCAAAGAGCGTCATTTCAATTGACTACAGATATGAACAATGATATGGTGCGTGGCTGTAAAGGGGCCTTAAAATTCCTCGCTCTAACGCGGGTTAAAACATGAAAGTAATAAAATTATGACAGTGGCGTGACATATGTGTGGTGATAGCTGATGGCAAAATGTCATGATAATAAAACCATGATGAAGATATAGTCACCGCAGCCACGACCACACTATAGAGGTCGTGCTACGGGTGACCTCAAAATATCGGGTGAAAGCTTTGCACATCTTTTAAAAACGTAAAAACTGTTTGCAGCTTAAAAACCGGATCCCTACCGATGAGCATCCCAGGGTGTAGAGGGAGCTGCTGTCGGTAGGGCAGTAAAAAGTGCTTTTTTCTTAGAGCATCTAGCTCATTTCACTGGACGAGAATGTGGAGAACCGTAAGGGGGTCTCCACATCTCTCACAATATGGTGGATCACCGGAAGACAGAAGAAATGAGTGTGTGGAATGTGTGTGTCCTGTTCTAAGCCTTGTTAGTATTACTTCTGGGTGTCGTGATTTTGATAGTGGCGGCCAATAACCTGATGATGATATATGGCGTTTTTTGGCGCAAGGGCCATTTGATGGCCAAAGAGCGCCAGTTCATAGGACAAGGAATGTGGACGATGATTGTGATTAGCGGCTGTATAATGGCCATAAAATGCCTCGCGGTAAGGCGGGTAAAAACGTACAAGTATTAAAATCATGACCATGCCGTGAAAGGTGTGTGGTGCGAATAGGTGATGAAAGTTGGTGATAATAAAAGACGATGATGGATATGTATGGCATTAGCACAAGTGCCTCACTCGTTCATACCCTTGCGTCCAAGGGCCGTGAGGAAAGTGCTTTCTTGTGTAGCCACCGCAGCAAACCTCCCAGGAGAGGTCGTGCTACGGAATGCCGGGGAATATGATATGAAAACTATGAATTTCTTTTAAAAATACGAATAATGACTTATGACTAAAAAGCGGTTCCCTACCGACGAACATTGCAGGGTGTAAAGGTATATGTTGCCCCGCAGGGGCGCCTGATAAAGCAGGCGTTTGGTGTGTAACGACACCACGGACCCGAGCTAACGGGGGAGTTTCTACTCCCTCCCACGCCTAGCCGTGCGTGGCTTTGCCGTGTCCGGGGAAAAGGGGATCCTGGGGGTTGAGCTGACGCTGGGTGATTGGACCTTTAAGGCCCCCCGGCAGAGGCAACACACCCCTTTGGCCCCGGCTTCACGTAGTTGGCACCCCTGGGCTGACCCACCCAGGGGAAATCGGCAGTCGCCTTTTCCTATCTCTCTCTTCCTACATCTTCGTCTTTATCTCTCACTTTTTATCTGTCCTGTCATCTTCTCTTTTCCGTTTACTTCCGAATTTCCTGGCGGCGAGGGTTAACCCTGTGTAGTTACCCAATCTTGGGTAGTTATATTCGGTTATAGCGGCAATGCGTGGCTGGCGTCTCCAAGTGTTCACTGGTCAACCTTTGTAGCGTCCCCTTGTTGGGCTCGGTGGTGGGTGGCCACCATCGCCGCCAAACTTTATTGTTTTTTATGGCAAAATCTTTTCCCCCCCTTCCTGATCGCTCCCTAAAAAGGTGGCGCACCGAAGATACTTTCTTGCCTAACACACCAACGCCCACATTCCCAAAGTACCATGTAATTCACAGTCAAAACGAAAAGAAGACAGTCCGAGCTATTTCACCTTTCCTCGTCTCCAAAACTCTCACAGAAGCAATAGGCCCAGGTTACAAAGTAACAAAGATGGGAAGTGGCGATCTTCTTCTGGAGGTTCGTGACAAAGCTCAGTATGAAAAGCTGTCTAAGCTTGTGGCCTTTGGGGAAACCCCTGTTTCGGTGGTCCCACACAGGTCCGTGAACACTGTCCGTGGCGTAATTTCTGATGATGATCTTACTGAGCTTTCTGAAAGTGAGCTGTTCGAAGGTTGGCAGGACCAGAACGTGGTCAAAGTCCAACGAATAACAATAAGACGCAACAACAAACTGATCCCTACAAAACACGTAATAATTACCTTCGGAACAAGTGACCTACCAGAATCAATCGAAACCGGCTATTGTAAGCTTCGTGTAAGACCATACATTCCCAACCCTCGTCGATGTTTCAAGTGCCAACGTTTCGGTCATGGATCGCAGAGGTGCAGAGGGCGTGCCACTTGCGCAAAGTGCACCTCCATTCAACACATATCAGACAACTGCACCTCAGAAACAACTCATTGTTCGAACTGTGAAGGAGATCACGCTGCCTACTCACGATCATGCCCCGCATGGAAAAAAGAGAAACAAATAGTAGAACTTAAAGTTAAATTTATTCTCACATTCCAAGAAGCGCGCCAACGCTTCGCAATACACAACCCATTTTATCCCTCCTTTGCAGATGTGACGCGCCGGGGCGCCGCGCCACATGCCTCGGCACCCGCGAATGCCACACAGTGTGTGGCCGCGGTCGTGCCACCAGCGCCCCCGGCTGGAGCAGCCTGTGCTGCTCCGCCACCTGACAAACAGGGCCGGCAGACCCTAGTGTCTGCTGAACCTCGGACCACTGCAGGCGCAGTCAGGTCCGAAAGTTCAGTGAATGTGCCTGCCCAGCCGGCACCATCCACCACCTCACACGAGGTGATGGATACAAATCCCACTCCTTCGGCGCCTCAGACGCCGAAGGATAGGCGCAACTCCTTGGAGCGCGCCAAAAAAGAAAAACCTCGAATCACAGGGCCCTCAAAAGGCCCTGTAAACTAACGCAACACCTCTGTATGCACAGCACCACACTAAATTAAAATGACACAAATACTACAGTGGAACGTCAGAGGACTGTGGAGAAACCTCGACGATATCCTGGAACTTTTACACAAACATACACCTAAAGTGCTGTGCGTACAAGAGACACACCTGAAACCGAAACACACCAACTTTTAACGTCATTACATTATCTTTCGGAAAGACCGGAATGATGCCATTGTGCCATCCGGTGGTGTTGCCATTATAGTCAATCAAGGGATTGCATGCACACACCTAACATTACAAACATCCCTTGAGGCGGTGGCTGTTCGAGCAGTTCTATTGAATAAGCTCGTCACCATCTGCTCTCTGTACATACCTCCACAACACCGTCTCGAAAAGCATGAATTCGAGTCCCTCATAGACGAACTTCCAGAACCTTATATTCTTCTGGGAGATTTCAATGCACATAGCAATCTGTGGGGTGACTCTCGCTGCGATGCTCGAGGTCGCCTGATTGAACAGCTTCTTTTTTCTTGCGGTGCATGCCTTCTGAATCTGTAAGCGCCAACATACTACAACATTGCTAACAATACGTACTCAGCAATAGACCTCAGCATAATATCCCCATCACTCCTGCCTCTACTTAAATGGGAAGTTATTAATGATCCATATGGTAGTGACCATTTTCCTATCGTTATCAGCTCATCAATAACAAATACATGTCCTGTACAAGTTCCAAAATGGCTCACCGACAAAGCTGATTGGGGAAAGTTTCGAAAAATGACTTTATTATCTTGGACTGACATGGCGGCATTGAGCATAGAGGATGCTGTATGGTACTTTACAGCTTTCTTGGTTGATGCAGCAGCAAAATGTATTCCCCAAACATGTGGACCGTCAAGCAAACGACGAGTCCCATGGTGGAATAATGAGTGCCGTGATGCTCGAAAAAAACAAAATAAGGCATGGAGGTTGCTTAGAGACTCGCCCACAGCCGAGAATCTTGTAAACTTTAAGAACGTCAAGTCGCAAGCAAGGAGGACGCGCCGACAGGCGAGAAGAGAAAGTTGGCACAAATTCGTATCGGGCATTAACTCATACACAGATGAGTCGAGAGTCTGGAGCATGGTTGGCAAGGTGGCAGGACGAAAAGCACTTTCGCTTCCTCTAGTGAACACACAAGGGGAGAGTTTGGAAGACCAGGCAAACACTCTCGGAGCGCACTTTGAACAGGTCTCCAGCTCAACACACTATAGTGAAGCGTTCCGACGATACAAAACCGCAATAGAAAAACAGAGATTAGAGCGCAAGCCCAGAACACATGAGGCATACAACGAACCTTTCTGTTTTGCTGAACTGCAGGCCTCACTTGCCTGCTGCAATAAATATGCCCCAGGCCCGGACCGTGTGGCATATGAAATGTTGAAACACCTGCCCACTGAAACCCAGAAAGCTCTCCTCTCTCTCTATAATGCGATATGGTCTTCTGGCGAGCTACCCTCAGCCTGGAAGGAAGCTATCATTATCCCAATTCTAAAACAAGGCAAGGATTCGGCCTCAGTTTCCAGCTACAGGCCAATAGCATTACCCAGCTGTATTTGCAAAGTCTTTGAAAAAATGATTAACAGGCGCCTGATGCACTTCCTTGAAATTAGTGGCCTACTTGACCCATACCAGTGTGGGTTTCGAGAGGCTCGGTCCACCACTGACCACCTTGTCCGCATCGAAGCACAAATTCGCGATGCTTTTGTTCATAAGCAATTTTTTCTGTCTGTGTTCCTCGATATGGAAAAGGCATATGACACTGCATGGCGCTTCGGCATATTGCGAGACCTGTCACATTTAGGTGTGCGGGGTAGAATGCTGACAGTTATCGAAAGCTACCTGTCCAACCGTACATTCCGTGTCCAAGTTGGCACCGTCTTATCTCGAGTATTTGTCCAAGAAACAGGAGTGCCACAAGGAGGTGTATTGAGCTGCACACTTTTCATAGTTAAAATGAATTCCTTGCACCTGTCTCTCCCACGAAATATTTTTACTGCATATATATCGATGATGTGCAGATTGGTTACAAATCGTGCAACATCTCAATGTGCCAACGTCAAGTTCAACTAGGGTTGAACAAGGTATCTCAATGGGCAAACGAGAATAGTTTTATACTCAACGCGCAAAAGAGCACTTGTGTCTTGTTCAGCCGAAAGAGGGGCCTCCATCCTGACCCCGACATTGACCTGCATGGTCAACCTCTGTCAGTGAAGACCGAGCACAAGTTTCTTGGCCTCATATTAGACACTAAGCTAACTTTCATCCCACACATCAAGTATTTAAGGAACAGGTGCTTAAAACAATGAAAATTTTGAAAGTGCTGTCACACACTACATGGGGAAGGGACAGGAAATGTTTAATTAACTTATATAAAAGCCTCGTACGCACACGCCTAGATTACGGTGCTATAGTCTACCAGTCGGCAACACCATCAGCCTTGAAAATTCTCGACCCTGTCCACCATCTAGGCATTCGCCTCTCTACGGGTCCTTTCCGCACCAGCCCTGTGGAGAGCCTGTACGTGGATTCGAATGAATGGTCGCTCCACCTACAAAGATGTTCCCTGTCCTTTTTGTACTTTTTGAAGGTGAAGGCAGACAAGAAACATCCTTCCCATTTCACAATTAATTATTTGTCTTGTTCTGGCTTGTTCGAGAACCGACCTTCGTTTAGGCAGCCCTACGCGCTGCGTGTAAGGAGCTTGGCCGAAGGAACAGGTGTGCCTCTTCTTGAACCAAGTTTGATGGCTCCTGCAACATATCTGCCACCGTGGCAGTGGCAGCTTATAGAATGTGATGTTTCTTTTGTTGATGTCACAAAGCACGCACCACTTGCACACATACATACATACTTTTTAGAACTACAACATAAATACACATGCCCTGAGTTCTTTACTGATGCGTCAAAGTCAAGCACTTCTGTGTCATATGCAGCAATAGGCCAATCCTTTTCTGAGGCCGGCGTTCTTCATCCTAATGCAAACATTTTCACAGGAGAAGCTTACGCAATACTGGCGGTCGTAAAACACATTAAACAGATAAAATTACAAAAGGCGGTAATATACACAGATTCCCTAAGCGTGGTCAAAGCCTTGAAAACTCCTAAAAAACACATGAACCCCGTGCTGGTGTCACTCTACTCACTTCTGTGCACACTCTACGCATCAAAACAGCATGTCGTTGTCTGCTGGGTTCCAGGGCACCGTGAAATACAAGGGAACGTTTTGGCCGACAATCTGGCTGCTTGCGCCAATGTCACTACTGCCACTGCACCAACACCAGTCCCTGCACTTGACTTAAAACCTTTTATAAAACGAAAGCTCAGGGGGCATTGGCAGAGCATGTGGGATAAACAAACAGATAATAAACTCCATGCTATTAAGCCGCAACTAGGTTCTTGGCCGCCACTATCAAAATCACGACACACGGAAGTAATACTAACAAGGCTTAGGACTGGACACACACATTCTACACATTCATTTCTTCTGTCTACCGGTGATCCACCATATTGTGAGAGATGTGGAGAGCCCCTTACGGTTCTCCACATTCTTGTCCAGTGCAATGAGCTAGATGCTCTAAGAAAAAAGCACTTTTTACTGCCCTACCGACAGCAGCTCCCTCTACACCCTGGGATGCTCATCGGTAGGGATCCGCTTTTTAAACTACAAACACTTTTTACATTTTTAAAAGAAGTGCAAAGCTTTCACCCGATATTTCGAGGTCATTCATAGCACGACCTCTATAGAGTGGTCGTGGCTGCGGTGACTATATCTTCATCATGGTTTTATTATCATGAAATTTTGCCATCAGCTATCACCACACATATGTCACCCCACTGTCATAATTTTATTACTTTCATGTTTTAACCCGCGTGAAGATACTTGTGCTTGCTGTGAAGATACTTGTGCCTGTATGTAGCGGGCCAGCATCCGAAAAGGAAGGGCCAACAGCAGCGTAGGACACAGAGGAGTTAGACTTAGAGGCATCTGTAAAAAACTCAGGACGTGTGTACTTGTGTTGAAGTTCCAAGAAGTATGTTCGAATATGGGCAATAGGCGCATGTTTAGTAACTTCTAGGAAAGACACATCGCAATCTATAGTCTGCCACTGCCACGGTGGCGGGTATGCTACAGGAGCCATTAAACTGTGTTCGAGTGACACTCCAGTGTCCTCAGCTAGACCCTTCAGGCGAACTGAGAAGGGCTGCCTCATTGAAGGCCTGTTTTGGAAAAGAATGGAGCTCGAGAAGTCATTAATAGTAGAGTATGAGGGGTGCCTCTTGTCTGCCTTCACCTTAAGGAAATATACAAAGGACATGTAGGTTCCTTGCAGATGAAGCGACCACTCATTTGACTCAACGTAAAGGCTTTCTACGGGGCTGGTGCGAAAAGCTCCCGTAGAAAGGCGGATGCGGGAATGGTGCACGGGATCCAGCATCTTCAAAGCACTTTGAGTCGCAGACTGATAAACAATGGCCCCATAATCTAAGCGGGTACGAATAAGGCTTCTATAGAGGTTCATGAGGCATTGCCTATCACTACCCCACGTAGTACGTGACAACACTTTTATAACATTCATGGCTTTTAAACATTTTGTTTTAAATACTTTATGTGTGGTACGAAGGTCAACTTGTTGTCCAAGATTAAGCCTAGGAATTTATGCTCCGCATTCATAGACAGACGTTGGCCGTTCAGTTCAATGTCGGGTTCTGAGTGCATGCCTCTCTTTCGAGAGAACAAGACACACGTGCTTTTTCCTGGGTTCAGCCGGAATCCGATTTCCTCTGCCCATTTGGAGACCTTGTTTAAACCTAACTGAACCTGTCGCTCACACACTGCTAGGTTGCATGACTTAAAGGCAAGCTGGACGTCATCGACATATGTGGAGTAGAACATGTTGCGGGGGATGGACAGGTGCAAGGAATTCATTTTTATAATAAAAAGTGTACAACTAAGTACACCACCTTGCGGTACTCCCGTTTTTTGCACAAATATTTGGGAGAGAGTACTGCCCACAAGGACGCGGAATTTCCGATTGGACAAGTAACTCTCGATTATGGAAAGCATTCTACCGCGCACACCCAGGTGAGACAAGTCTCTTAATATCCCAAAACGCCATGTTGTGTCGTAAGCCTTCTCGATATCGAGAAACACTGAGAGGAAGTATTGTTTGTGGACAAAAGCGTCTCGGATCTGTGCCTCGATACGCACCAGATGGTCGGTGGTGGATCTACCCTCCCGAAACCCACACTGAAATTGGTCGAGCAGATTGTGTGTTTCAGGGAAATGTAAAAGCCGGCGGTTTATCATTTTTTTCAAAAAGTTTACAAACGCAGCTGGTTAGTGCAATGGGCCTATAACTTGAAACTGAGGAAGGGTCCTTGCCCTGTTTCAAAATAGGGATAACAATAGCCTCTTTGCAAGAAGCAGGGATGGTACCTGAAAGCCAGATAGCATTGTATAGAGAGAGTAAAGTTTTTCGCGTTTGGAGCGGCAAGTTTTTCAACATTTCATATGTGACACGGTCGTAGCCTGGAGCGGAATTATTGCAAGAGGTTAGTGATGTTTGTAGCTCAGCTAAGTTGAAAGGTTGGTTGTATTCCTCGTAATTTCTGCACTTGGATTCTAGTTTCTGCTTTTCTATCTTTGCTTTGTGTCTTTGGAAATCTTCAGTTTAGTGTGACGAGCTAGCCACCTGCTCGTAGTGTGCACCGAGGAAGTTCGCTTGATCTTCCAGGCTATCACCTTGTGCGTTTACGAGTGGGAGTGAGTGTACTTGTCTTCCTGCTACCCTACGAACCATGTTCCAGACTTTAGCCTCTTGTGTATATGAATTTATCCCTGATAAAAACTTGTGCCAGCTTTCTTTTCTGGCCTGCCGACGCGTTCTCCTGCCTTGAGATTTTATTTTCCTAAAGCTCTCAAGGTTTTCCGCTGTCGGCGAGTTCCGCAGCAACCTCCATGCCCTGTTCTGTTCCTTTCGCGCATTCTGGCACTCAGTGTTCCACCACGGAACGTGTCGTTTGCCGGGCAGTCCAGATGTTTGTGGAATGCACTTGGTTGCTGCGTCAGTAAGAAAAGCCGTGAAGTACTGCACAGCTTCATCTATGCCTAACCCGCATATGTCAGTCCAATTTAGGTGAGTAAGCTTTTGAAATCGTTCCCAGTTGGCTTTGTTTACCAGCCATTTGGGAACATGTGGAGGACATTCATTTGTTATTGGTGTACTCAAAACTAAAGGGAAATGGTCACTTCCGTATAGATTATTTATGACTTTCCACTGAAGTAACGGTACAAGTGAAGGAGATGCGATACTGAGGTCTATGGAAGAGTAAGTTTTGTTGGCGAGGTTATAGTATGTTGCCTCTTTCCTATTCAACAGACAAGCACCCGATGAAATGAGGAATTTTTCAATGAGACGACCTCGGGCATCACAGCGAGTCACCCCACAGACCATTATGTGCGTTCAGGTCCCCAAGGACCAGATAAGGTTCAGGTAGTTCGTCGATTAAAGACTGGAATTGAAGTTTTTCGAGACGGTGGTGCGGAGGTATGTACAAAGAGCAAACAGTGACAAGTTTGTTTAGAATAACTGCTCGGACAGACACCGCCTCGAGGGGAGTTTGAAGGGGTAATTGTGTGCATGCTATACCTTGACTTACTATAACCGCTACACCACCGGATGGCAGCATGGCATCATCTCTATCCTTTCGGAAGATTATATAGTTACGTAAAAAGTTTGTGTTAGTTCGTTTTAAGTGTGTCTTCTGTACACACAGCACCCTTTGATTGTGTTCATGAACGAGTTCTTGTAAGTCATCGAGGTTTCGAAGAAGGCCTCGGATGTTCCACTGTAATATTTCTGTCTGCATATTTAAACAAGAGAGATGCTGCTGTGTGTACAAAGAGTATCCTGTGTTGGAGTGAGCTCATTAATTCAGGTGGCAGGACGGTTGTCCGGCCCCGTTATTGGTTTTTTATTCTTCTTGGCGCGCTCCAAGGAGCCGCTGCTCTTTTGGTACCAAGGGTACCGTTGTATCCGTTGCCTCCTCAGAGGCACTGGGTGCCCGCACATGCGAGCTCGTGGTTCGGATTTTAGGCCTCGCCTGGTGAGGGGAGGCCTTGAGACCAGAGGACCCTGGAGTTTCCGGCCTCAATTCGCTAGGAGGCGGAGTAGCCTGAACTACTGCCGCCTTGGGGGCAGGTGCCACAGCCGTCGGCTTGCTCTGCGCTGGCCGAAGGAGTGGCGAGGGCTGGTGCGGCGTTGCCCCCTGACGCGCCGCATCAGCATATGTAGCGCCATAAAATGGCGACACTCTTCGTCTTGCTTCCTTGAATGTGATATTTTCTTTAATTTTCAATGTGATGATTTCCTTTTATTTTTTCCAAAATGAGCAAGACCGTGAGTATGCGGCATGATTTCCACCACAGTTCACACAGTGTGATGGTTCTTCGCAATTGTCCGAATTGTGGCCTGACACTCCACATTGTGCACAAGTTTGGTGACCACGACAGCTTTGTGAGCCATGGCCATACTTCTGGCATTTAAAACAACGACGTGGGTTAGGTATGTATGGTCTGATCGACGTCTTTGTGTAGCCTGTTTGAATACTTTCTGGGAGATTACTGGAAGCGAACGTGAGCATTAGGTGTTTTGTTGGTGTTGCCTTGCTGTCTCTTCTAATGGTGATCCTTTGTACATTGGTCACATTCTGACTCTTCCACCCCTCCAGAAGTTCCTCTTCAGTCAAGCTGAGCAAATCAGCATCAGATACTACTCCACGGGTTGTGTTCATGGATCTGTGTGGCGTTACAGTGATGGGAGTGTCACCAAAAGTTGAAAGATTCTGTGGCTTTTCGAACTGTTCTTTTCCTCGGACTTCAAGGAGGAGGTCTCCGCTGGCCATTTTGGTAACTTTGTACCCGGCTCCAAGAGTTTCTGTGAGACATCTGGCTACTACAAAGGGTGATACGGTTCTGGCTTGCTTGCTGCTTATTTCACTATGTATAACATGATAATGGGGGAAGTTTTCACTTGATCGGTTGAAAAAGCCTAAGTCTTCAGTGCGTACACGCTTTAAGGCGGTACGATCACTTAATAGGAGAAATGCTTTATGCATGCCAGTTTAATTTTCTTCAGAAGCGTTGGCGGCCACCCACCACGGAGCCCAACAAGGGGACGCTACAAGTTTGTGGATGCTAAAACCTGCAGACACCAGCCGTACAACGCAACTATAACCCAATGCGCCTAGACCAAGGTAGGCTATTTGCACAGGGTTAACCCTCGCCGCCAGGAAGTTTGGAAGTAAACAGAAGAGAGTAGAAGACAGGACAGATAAACAGTAAGAGATAAAGACGAAGATGTAGGGAGAGAGAGATAGGAAAAGGCGACTGCCGATTTCCCCTGGGTGGGTCAGCCCAGGGGTGCCGTCTACGTGAAGCCGGGGAAAAAGGGGTGTGTTGCCTCTGCCGGGGGGCCTTAACGGTGCAATCACCCAGCGTCGGCTCAACCCCCAGGATCCCCTTTTCCCCGCACACGGCAAAGCCACGCACGGCTAGGCGTGGGATGGAGTAGAAACTCCCCCGTTAGCTCGGGTCCGTGGTGTCGCTACACACCAAACGCCTACTTGCGCAGGCGCCCCTGCGGGGGGCCAATAACCTAGTTGCGGTTTAATAGCATGGAGTTTATTATCTGTGTGTTTATCCCACATCCTCTGCCAATACTCCCTGAGCTTTCGTTTTTAAAAGGTTTTAAGCCAAGTGCAGGGACTGGTGTTGATGCATTGGCAGTAGTGACATTGGCGCAAGCAGCCAGATTGTCGGCCAAAACGTTTCCTTGTATTTCACGGTGCCCTGGAACCCAGCAGACAACGACATGCTGTTTTGATGTGTAGAGTGTGCACAGAAGTGAGTAGAGTGACACCAGCACGGGGTTCTTGTGTTTTTTAGGAGTTTTCAGGGCTTTGACCACGTTTAGGGAATCTGTGTATATTACCGCCTTTTGTAATTTTATCTGTTTATTGTGTTTTACGACAGCCAGTATTGCGTAAGCTTCTCCTGTGAAAATGCTTGCATTAGGATGAAGAACGCCAGCCTCGGAAAAGGATTGGCCTACCGCTGCATATGAAACAGAAGTGTTTGACTTTGACGTATCGGTAAAGAACTCAGGGCATGTGTATTTATGTTGTAGTTCTAGGAAGTATGTATGTATGTGTGCAAGTGGTGCGTGCTTTGTGACATCAACAAAAGAGATATCACAGTCTATAAGCTGCCACTGCCACGGTGGCAGATATGTTGCAGGAGCCATCAAACTGGGTTCAAGAAGAGGCACACCTGTTTCTTCGGCCAGGCTCCTTACACGCAGCGCGTAGGGCTGCCTAAACGAAGGACGGTTCTCGAACAAGCCAGAACAAGACAAATCAATAATTATGAAATGGGAAGGGTGTTTCTTGTCTGCCTTCACCTTCAAAAAGTACAAAAAGGACAGGGAACATCTTTGTAGGTGGAGCGACCATTCATTCGAATCCACGTACAGGCTCTCCACAGGGCTGGTGCGGAAAGCACCCGTAGAAAGGCGAATGCCTAGATGGTGGACAGGGTCGAGAATTTTCAAGGCTGATGGTGTTGCCAACTGATAGATTATAGCCCCGTAATCTAGGCGTGTGCGTACGAGGCTTTTATATAAGTTAATTAAACATTTCCTGTCACTACCCCATGTACTGTGTGACAACACTTTCAAAATGTTCATTGTTTTTAAGCACCTGTCCCTCAAATACTTGATGTGTGGGATGAAGGTTAGCTTAGTGTCTAATATGAGGCCAAGAAACTTGTGCTCGGTCTTCACTGACAGAGGTTGACCATGCAGGTCAATGTCGGGGTCAGGATGGAGGCCCCTCTTTCGGCTGAACAAGACACAAGTGCTCTTTTGCGCGTTGAGTATAAAACTATTCTCGTTTGCCCATTGAGATACCTTGTTCAACCCTAGTTGAACTTGACGTTGGCACATTGAGATGTTGCACGATTTGTAACCAATCTGCACATCATCGATATATATGCAGTAAAAATATTTCGTGGGAGAGACAGGTGCAAGGAATTCATTTTAACTATGAAAAGTGTGCAGCTCAATACACCTCCTTGTGGCACTCCTGTTTCTTGGACAAATACTCGAGATAAGACGGTGCCAACTTGGACACGGAATGTACGGTTGGACAGGTAGCTTTCGATAACTGTCAGCATTCTACTCCGCACACCTAAATGTGACAGGTCTCGCAATATGCCGAAGCGCCATGCAGTGTCATATGCCTTTTCCATATCGAGGAACACAGACAGAAAAAATTGCTTATGAACAAAAGCATCGCGAATTTGTGCTTCGATGCGGACAAGGTGGTCAGTGGTGGACCGAGCCTCTCGAAACCCACACTGGTATGGGTCAAGTAGGCCACTAATTTCAAGGAAGTGCATCAGGCGCTTGTTAATCATTTTTTCAAAGACTTTGCAAATACAGCTGGGTAATGCTATTGGCCTGTAGCTGGAAACTGAGGCCGGGTCCTTGCCTTGTTTTAGAATCGGGATAATGATAGCTTCCTTCCAGGCTGAGGGTAGCTCGCCAGAAGACCATATCGCATTATAGAGAGAGAGGAGAGCTTTCTGGGTTTCAGTGGGCAGGTGTTTCAACATTTCATATGCCACACGGTCCGGGCCTGGGGCAGGTTTATTGCAGCAGGCAAGTGAAGCCTGCAGTTCAGCCAAACAGAAAGGTTCGTTGTATGCCTCATGTGTTCTGGGCTTGCGCTCTAATCTCTGTTTTTATATTGCGGTTTTGTATCGTCGGAACGCTTCACTATAGTGTGTTGAGCTGGAGACCTGTTCAAAGTGTGCTCCGAGAGTGTTTGCCTGGTCTTCCAAACTCTCCCCTTGGGTGTTCACTAGAGGAAGAGAATGTGCTCCTCGTCCTGCCACCTTACCAACCATACTCCAGACTCTCGACTCATCTGTGTATTAGTTAATGCCCGACACAAATTAGTGCCAACTTTCGCTTTTCGCCTGTCGGCGCGTCCTCCTTGCTTGCGACTTGACGTTTTTAAAGTTTACAAGATTCTCGGCTGTGGGCGAGTATCTAAGCAACCTCCATGCCTAATTTTGTTTTTTTTTTTCGAGCATCACGGCACTCATTATTCCACCATGGTACTCGTCGTTTGCTTGACGGTCCACATGTTTGGGGAATACATTTTGTTGCTGCATCAACCAAGAAAACTGTGAAGTAGCATACAGCATCCTCTATGCTCAATGCCGCCATGTCAGTCCAAGATAATAAAGTCATTTTTTGAAACTTTTCCCAATTGGCTTTGTCGGTGAGCCATTTGGGAACTTGTGCAGGACATGTATTTGTTATTGATGTGCTAATAATGATAGGAAAATGGTCACTACCATATGGATCATTAATGACTTCCCATTTAAGTAGAGGCAGGAGTGATGGGGATATTATGCTGAGGTCTATTGCTGAGTACGTATTGTTAGCGATGTTGTAATATGTTGGCTCTTTCCGATTCAGCAGGCACGCACCGGAAGAAAACAGGACCTGTTCAATCAGGCGACCTCGAGCATCGCAGCGAGAGTCACTTCATAGATTGCTATGTGAATTGAAATCTCCAAGGAGGATATAAGGTTCTGGAAGTTCCTCTAAGAGAGACTCGAGTTCATGCTTTTCAAGACGGTGTTGCGGAGGTATGTAGAGAGAGCAGATGGTGACGAGCTTATTCAAAAGAACTGCTCGAACAGCCACCGCCTCGAGGGATGTTTGTAGTGGTAGGTGTGTGCATGCAATCCCTTGATTGGCTATAATGGCAACACCACCGGATGGCACAATGGCCTCATTCCGGTCTTTCCGAAAGATAACGTAATGACGTAAAAAGTTGCTGTGTTCAGGTTTCAGGTGTGTCTCTTGTACGCACAGCACCTTAGGTGTATGTTTGTGTAAAAGTTCATGGATATCGTCCAGGTTTCTCAACAATCCTCTGACGTTCCACTGTAGTATTTGTGTCATTTTAATGTAGTGTGGTGCTGTGTGTACAGAGGTGTTGCATTAGTTTACAGGGCCTTTTGAGGGCCCTGTAATTCGAGGTTTTTCTTTTTTGGCGCGCTCCAAGGAGTTGCGCCTATCCTTCGGCGTCTGAGACGCCGGAGGAGCGGAACTTGTATCCATCACCTCTTGGGAAGTGGTGGATTGTGCCTGCTGGGCAGGCACATTCACTGAACTTTTGGCCCTAACTGCGCCTGCAGTGGTCCCAGGTTCGGCAGACACCGGGGTCTGCCGGCCCTGCTTGTCAGGTGGCGGAGCAGTACAGGCTGCTCCAGCTGGGGGCGCTGGCGGCACGACCGCGGCCACACACTGTGTGATATTCGCGGGTGCCGAGGCATGTGGCGCGGTGCCCCGGCGCGTCACATCTGCAAAGGAGGGATAAAATGAGTTGTGTATTGCGAAACGTTGGCGTGCTTCTTGGAATGTGAGATTGAATTTAACCTTAAGTTCTACTATTTGTTTCTCTTTTTTCCATGCGGGACATGATCGTGAGTAGGCAGCGTGATCTCCTTCACAGTTCGAACAATGGGTTGTTTCTGAGGTGCAGTTGTCCGATATGTGTTCAATGGATGCGCACTTTGTGCAAGTGGCACGCCCTCTGCAACTCTGCGATCCATGACCGAAACGTTGGCACTTGAAACATCGAAGAGGGTTGGGAATGTATGGTCTTACACGAAGCTTACAATAGCCGGTTTCGATTGATTCTGGTAGGTCACTTGTTCCGAAGGTAAGTATTACGTGCTTTGTAGGGGTCAGTTTGTTGTTGCGCCTTATTGTTATTCGTTGGACTTTGACCACGTTCTGGTCCTGCCAACCTTCGAGCAGCTCACTTTCAGAAAGCTCAGTAAGATCATCATCAGAAATGACACCACGGACAGTGTTCATGGACCTGTGTGGGCCCACCGAAACAGGGGTTTCCCCAAAGGCTACAAGCTTAGACAGCTTTTCATACTGAGCTTTGTCACGAACCTCCAGAAGAAGATCGCCACTTCCCATCTTTGTCACTTTATAACCTGGGCCTATTGCTTCTGTGAGAGTTTTGGAAACGAGGAAAGGTGAAATGGCTCGGACTGTCTTGTTTTCGTTTTGACTGTTGATTACATGGTACTTTGGGAATGTCGGCTTTGGTGTGTTAGCAAGGAAAGTATCTTCGGTGCGCCACCTTTTTAGGGAGCGATCAGGAAGGGAGGGAAAAGCTTTTGCCATAAAATACAATAAAGTTCGGCGGCGATGGTGGCCACCCACCACCGAGCCCAACTAGGGGACGCTACAAGGTTGACTATTGAACACTTGGAGACGCCAGCCATGCATCGCCGCTATAACCGATTATAACTACCCAAGGTTGGGTAACTACACAGGGTTAACCCTCGCCGCCAGGAAATTCGGAAGTAAATGGAAAAGAGAAGATGACAGGACAGATAAATGTGAGAGATAAAGACGAAGATGTAGGAAGAGACAGATAGGAAAAGTCGACTGCCGATTTCCCCTGGGTGGGTCAGCCCAGGGGTGCCGTCTACGTGAAACCGGGGCCAAAGGGGTGTGTTGCCTCTGCCGGGGGGCCTTAAAGGTCCAATGACCCAGCGTCAGCTCAACCCCCAGGATCCGCTTTTGCTCGGACACGGCAAAGCCACGCACGGCTAGGCGTGGGAGGGAGCCGAAACTCCCCCGTTAGCTCGGGTCCGTGGTGTCGCTACACACCAAACGCCTACTTGCGCAGGCGCCCCTGCGGAGTAATAAAAGAATGTTGTCTCTGCTAGCTTTTCGAATGCAGATTGCCCAAACCCTTCCACATCTGAAGTCAAATCTTTTGAAAAAAGGTCAGGTATAGCTGCTGAAGCTGGAATCGTGCCCGCCAAACACTTAACCCATTCTCCGGTGACAGCGAGGCCCACAGTGGACGTGAGGTACGATGGATTATTGATTGATTGATTGATTCATTGATGATATATGGAGTTTATATATGTGGAGTGATATGTGGAGAGTCATAACCACTCTGTGATTATGAGAGACGCCGTAGTGGAGGGCTCCGGAAATTTAGACCACCTGGGGTTCTTTAACGTGCGCACAAATCTGAGCACACGGGCCTACAACATTTTCGCCTCCATCGGAAATGCAGCCGCCGCAGCTGGGATTCGAACCCGTGCCCTGCGGGCCAATAGCCGGGTACCTTAGCCCTTAGACCACCACGGCGGGGCGTGAGGTACGATGGCATGAACCACTGGCCACAGTACGGCGAAAAAAAGAACCGATGCAAGTTCTGCAAGTTCGGCTACACGTTTCTGTACTGCGCTAAGTGCAACATGCACTTGTGCCTCCTTCCAAGCTGCAACTGCTTCAAGGCATTCCACGTGAAGTAGTGCCTCAAGTGCCCAATGTTGCTCAGGAGCAACACCTCATTACTCACCTATAAATAAACATAATTTTTTTCTGACAACGTAATTGGCATATTGTGACCTTTCTTTATGCATGCCAGAGTTTTCTTCATGTTGTGCATTTAAAGAAAATTTTGGGCATCAAAGAGTTAATTATTCTAGATCACGTCTGTGTAGCTGTTGATGCGGTGGTATGTACACAGAACATATGGTAATGAGTTTATTAAAAAGTACAGCTCGAATGGCCACTGCCTCAAGGGCCGTTTGGAGCTTTGAATGCTGGCATGCTATACTCCGATCAGCTATAATGGCCACACTGCCTGATGGTACTACAGCATCCTCCCGGTCTTTTCGGAAAATAATATATTGTTGTAGGAAGTTCTTGTGCTTAGGAGTTAAGCGCGTTTCTCGCACACATAGCACTTTCGCGTTAAACTTACTCAGAAGTTCTTGGATGTCATCTAAATTTCAGAGTATACCCCTCACTTTCCACTGTATGATGTTGTCTATAGTTGAAGAAAAAAAGGAAGTGCTGTGTGCAGAAAAGACGGAGATTAGCTCATTTTACAGCGCCTTTGTCAGGCCCTGTAATCGGCGTTCTGTCTTTTTCGGGGCGGTCGAGAGAAGATCGCTGCTCCTTCGGCGCTTCCTGCACCGTTTGGCTTGAATGGTGCCCATAGCTTTTTGCGAGGCACTGGACGCCCGCTCTACAGAGCGATCTGTGCGTCGCTTTGACTTCGCCTCACTCGACGAAGTCTTTGTCCCCACCGAGCTGGGGGTCGATAAAGCCCCCTTCGCCTCGTGATTGGCCTGGCTGCTGCCAGAGCTTGTAGAGGTCACTGGTGTGGACAGGCTGAATGTGGGCAGGGCAGCGCTGGCTGCTGCCGCCGTAGGGGCTTGTAGCGTTGGCCTCGGCACGCTAGGCGCGGTACGGGCAACTGCCAAAAGCCTTTGTGGTGCCACCCCTCGTTGCACCACTTCGGCGAAAGGTGATTTTAGTGCCAATGTTAACGACATCTGTTGTCTTGCTCCTCTGAATGTGATATTTTTCTTTACATTTATAGTTATTATTTCTTTTTTTTCAGGCTGGGAACGCCCTGGAGTATGCGGGGTGACTACCTTCGCAGTTAGCACAGAGTACCTCATCTTGACTACATTCATCAGCACTGTGGCCGGTTGTGCCACACTTAGCACAGATCAACTGCCTTCGGCAGCTCTGGGATGCATGACTAAACCGCTAGCATTTGAAACAACGCCTCGGGTTTGGACTGAAGGGTCGGACATAGAGTTTTATATAGCCAGTTTCGAGAGTCTCAGGTGAAGTGGTTGAGTTGAAGGTGAGTATTAAGTGCTTTGTTGCTAATTCGTTGTTGTTACGTCCGATTTTGATGCGCTGGACATGTATTACACCTTGGTCCTTCCATACATCAAGAAGCTCTCCTTCACTCAGTGTCATCAAATCTTTGTCCGATACCACGCCCTTCGCTGTATTTATTCATGGTACGATGTGCGCTCACAAAGACGGGAACTTTACCAAAGGCTACAAGGTGCGTGAGTTTATTGTACTGTTCCTTGTCTTTTATTTAGAAAAGCAGATCTCCACTTGCCATCTTCGTGGCCTTATAACCGCTTCCAATGGTCTCTCTCAAGCACTTGACCAAAAGGAAGAGTGAGATTGCTCTAGCTTTTATAGATGACTGTTCGCAGTGGAGGACATGATATTTTGGGAAAGTTTCTCTGTTTTCGAGCCAAAATAGTGAAGTTGTGTCGGTGCGTACCCTTTTCGAGGCACGATCAGTTAGAAAGGGAGTGGAGGATCCCATGGGAAAATGTGGATTTTTCGGTAACGGCGCCTACCACCCACCACGGAGTCCAACAAAGGGACGTGGCAGAGCATGTGGGCATGTCTGCGCAATGCCAGCAGTACGCCGTTACTATAACTCAATATGGTTTACTCTCGTTTGGATAGCCACACAATGTTAACCCTTGCCGCCAGGAAAAACAGAAATTGAAGAGAGGAGAGAACAGGAAAGATTGAAAGTAAGAAGTAAAGACAAAGATGACAGGGAGAAACAGGAAAAGGCGACTGCCAGTTTCCCCTGGGTGGGTCCGCCCAGGAGTACCGTCTACGTGAAGCCGGAGCCAAAGGGATGTGTTGCCGCCACTGGGGGGCCTCAAAGGTCCAATCACCCAGCATTGACTGAACCCCCAGGATCCCCTTTTCCCCGGACACGGCAAAGCCACGCACGGCTACGCGTGGGAGGGTGTCAAAACTCCCCCGTTAGCTCGGGTCCGTCGTGTCGCTACCCACCAAACGCCTACTTGCGCAGGCGCCCCTGCGGGGGACCTTGACATGTGGCAGGATTTCCGCCACAGTTCACACAGTGTGATGGTTCTTCGCAATTGTCAGAATTGTGGCCTGACGCTCCACATTGTGCACAAGTTTCGTGACTACGACAGGTTCGTGAGTCATGGCCATACCTCTGGAATTTAAAACAATGACGTGGTTTAGCTATGTATGGTCTGATCGATGTCTTCGTGTACCCTGTTTGAATACTTTCTGGCAGATTACTGGAAGCGAACGTGAGTATAAGGTGTTTTGTTAGTGTTACCTTGTTGTCTATTCTGATGATGATCCTTTGTACATTGGTCACATTCTGACTCTTCCACCCCTCCAGAAGTTCCTCTTCGGTCAAGCCGAGCAAGTCAGCATTAGATACTATTCCACGGGTTGTGTTCATAGATCTGTGTGACGTTACAGTGATCGTAGTGTCACCAAAAGTTGAAAGATTCTGTAGCTTCTCAAGCTGTTCCTTTTCACGAACTTCAAAGAGGAGGTCTCCGCTGGCCATTTTGGTAACATTGTACCCGGCTGCAAGAGTTTCTGTGAGACATCTGGCTACTACAAAGGGGGATACAGTTCTGGCTTGCTTGCTGCTTATCTCACTATGTGTAACATGAAAATGTGGAAAGCTCTCTTTAGATCGATTGAAAAAGCCTAAGTCTTCGGTGCGTACGCGCTTTAAGGCGCTACGATCACTTAACAAGGGAAACACTCTATGCATTCCAGTTTAATTTTCTTCAGAAGTGTTGGCGGCCACCCACCACGGAGCACAACGAGGGGACGCTACAAGTTAGCGGATGCTAAAACCTGCAGACGCCAGCCGTACAACGCTACTATAACCCAATGCGCCTAGCCCAAGGTAGGCTATTTGCACAGGGTTAACCCTAGCCGCCAGGAGGTTTGGAAGCAGGCAGAAGAGAGTAGAAGACAGGAAAAATAAAAAGTGAGAGATAAAGACGAAGATGTAGGGAGACAGAGACAGGAAAAGGCGACTGCCGATTTCCACTGGGTCGGTCAGCCCAGGGGTGCCGTCTACGTGAAGCCGGGGCCAAAGGGGTGTGTTGCCTCTGCTCGGGGGCCTTAAATGTCCAATAACCCAGCGTCGGCTCAACCCCCAGGATCCCCTTTTCCCGGACACGGCAAAGCCGCGCACGGCTATGCGTGGGAGGGAGTAGAAACTCCCCCGTTAGCTCGTGTCCATGGGGTCGCTACGCACCAAACGCCTACTTGCGCAGGTGCCCCTGCGGGGAACAGGTGAACTGTATTTTCTTAGACTTCCAAAAGGCCTTTGACTCGGCAGCACACAATTTATTACTTGTAAAACTGTCTGCACTTAATATTCCCACGGCACTTTTCTAGTGGATTGAGGCTTACCTTACTGACCGAAAACCAGTGTGTTGTTCTTAACGGAATTACCTCATCACATAAAACAGTCTTGTCAGATGTTCCTCAGGGATCTGTACTCGGGCCTCTTCTTCTTTTGATATTTATCAATGATATAGACGAAGGAGTATCAAGCCATGTCAGATTGTTTGCCGATGACTGTTGTCTTTACCGTGAACTTAATACTTTGAATGACAGTGTACAACTACAAAGTGACCTCGACAAGATACTACTCTGGTGAAATACCTGGAATATGATGCAAAATTTTTCTAAATGTAACATTGTCCAGTTTTCTACAAAACGTAATACTTTACATACAAAATACTCACTAATGGCGAAAGCCTCACAATTGCACTTAGCTGCAAATATTTATGGGTTTTATACAAAAATGACTTTTCCTGGAATGACCATATTGATTACGTAGCAGCGAAGGCTAGTCGGGTCCTCATTTTCCTAAGGCGTAACTTCAAGCAAGCTCCTCCTAAGTTAAAAGAAATTGCTTTACTTTTCAAATGTTCACACTATATTAGAATATGAATGTTCCGCTTGGGACCCCGTTACAAAGACAAAATTGACGAATTAGAGCGCATCCAAAAGCGTGCAGCACGGTTTGTATCATCAAACTATGATTTCAGAAAACGCTCTTCCGATATACGGGACAATCTTGGATGGCCGTCTTTGCAAGACAGGCGGGAGTAAATGCGCCTGAAACTGTTCCACAAAATTTTTATAGGTGAAACAGGCTTAAGGAAAGAAACCTACATACTTGATCCTACCTATAGATCTGCCCGCGTAGACCATTCCCTGAAGGTTAGGGAATATAGTTGTCGGATCAACCTGTGCAAACATTCTTTTTTTCCGTGGACAGTCCATGACTGGAATAGTCTCCCGAATAAAGTTCTACTGTCATTGCCGACTTCCTTTGATGAAGCCCTCGCGGAATGTTTGTTTAACTACGTTTTACATGACATATATGGGATATTTTGAGCTTTAGCTCACAATTTACAGCTTCTGCCTAGTTGTGTTTTCTACTGTCTTTCTTATGAGGTTATGTATCTATAAAGCTAATTTATGTTTAAAAGTCTTACTTTAATATCATGTTGTGTTGCTTTTTCGTATTGTACAACCTCTTTCAACCTCTTAGTAACGTGATGTTTAGTCTTTTTATAATGTTATTTATGTGTAGAGTGTTAATATTATCCTTATTCCTACATAGTGTTTGTTGCTTTTCATGTTGTATATACTACCTGTATCTTTTCCTGTTTGTTTCCCCCCTACAATAATGCCCAGTTGACCGCTGTAGGTATCTGAATAAATAAATAAATAAATAAATAAGGCAAAAGAGATTTGAAATACCTGCAGTACTACGGCGATGGTTATTCCAAGAGCTATGCTGCTGTCAAAGACATGTATGGAAAGGACAGTGTGCAGAAACTGGAATGCATTGGGCATGTCCGGAAGTGTGTTGGCTGCTGCCTCAGAAAACTGAAGACAGTGCGTGGACTCGGTGGTAAGGGAAAGCTCACTGATGCCCTCATATACCGCCTGCAAAACTACTATCGCATCGCCATAAGACCTAATGTGGGCAACCTTTCTGCAATGAAAAAGGCTGCCCTTGCCAGTCTTTTTCATTGCAGCTCTACCGACAAGCCGCCGAGCCATGGCCTGCGTCCACTTGGACCGAGAAGCTGGTGCGGATACCAAAGGGTTGAAGCTCATGGCCAAGGGAAATATGTACACAAAGGAGGACTTCTAAATGATGAGCTCAACAAAGTTAAAACTGTCCACAGTGATCTGTGCTCTGATGAACTTCTTATGAAGTGTCTTCATGGAAAGACTCAAAATGCTTATGAGTGTTTCAATGGTCTAATATGGCAGCGGGCACCCAAAGAGGTCTAAGTAAGCTTGCCTACAGTAATGTTTGCCTTGCATGATGCTCTCGCACACTTTATTAATGGCAGTGTAAGCACCTTAGATATTCTGAGGCAAGCTGGCATAGAACCAGGGTACCACACGACGAAAGCTTGCATCGCCAGGAATCACCTGCGCATGCAGAATGCTAAACGCAAGTCAGCGGATGGGACAAAACAGGACAGGAAGAAAAGACGAGCAGCCACTCGAACAGAAGGAGACAATAATGCTTCCGCAGAAGGACCCAGCTATGAATCTTGTGCATTTTAGGCCTGCATGCGAAGATTGTGACCCTTTTACAAGGTCAGAAATTTCATTTACGTTTTCTGAAAATAACAATTTGCTCCAATTGTTGCGACGCAAACTTTCATAACGTATTTCTTAGCGTATACCTTGAACTGAAATTTCGCACAACAATTTACAACATATATATCTGTGCAGTGAACTAGAATAAAAGAAATCTAGCGAATATTTTTCAGTTCACAGCTGAATTCTCCAACTAGTTGTCTATATTGGCTCTTTTACCGTTTTTTAGCATTACTTCCTTTATATTCACTGCATAATATTTATTCTAGTTCACTGCATAGCTCCAGCCATTAGTTACACAAATGTCAGCTTTACTGAATAAAGCCACCCATTAGTCACTTATCACAGCTAGCGTGGCTAGCACTTTTAATGCAATTTTTGACAAAGATTACCTCCCAATAAATAAGTATTCAATATTTTGCGCTGTAAATAGCTGGGTAAACTAAATAAGACATACTGGTTATGAGGAAACAGTTATTTCAACCTTGCCTGCCTTTAAAAAAAGTTTGTTTTTGAGTGGCCTACCACCTTAAATCTTTACAGATGGCTAGTATGCAGCTCACACAACATAACCACTTATCAAAGACGACTGCCTGTAATCTTTCTTTGCTTATAGCCATTGCATAGAACTCTGCAAACATAAACGCTACATACTGTGCAGCCGCATGAGACATTACTGCCGCCAACTGGGGTTGGAGGAGAGAATCATCAAGCTTAATCAAGTGTTCAAAAAAAATCACCGAAAAAAGCACCTTTATTAGAGGTTTGGGTGTAGTGCTCATGTATGAAACTGGTAAGAAAGTAGATGATGAGGAAAGACATTTTCGAACATCGCAATAAAATACCAACTATATCTTATATTGACACCCTAGCTATACATTCAGTGGCCCACTGATCGGAGAAACTTGTCACTGCACTCACGTGTGTCTGGCACACATGCTTATTGACCACCAAGTCTGCCAGTATTTCAGCCTGTGCTTGGCCATCCCAGTAAATCAATATTACTACTGATGCCACCTGCTCTAAATCTGCATGTGAGTGTTGGTGTGAGCGGCATGACACAATCGCAGTGGTTCACTTGCAGTGGTTCGAGTACCTGATGGATGATCTCATTCCCAACTCGACGAAAACTCCAAAATGAGGTCGGCCAGCTTGTCTTGGCTATAATCGTTGCTTTTTTCGCTATAATCAGTGTCGAGTACTTTTCCCGTTTTTTCATTAGTCTCGATAGCACAGATAAAATAGGTGCCATCAGAGTCATTTCAGCAGATAAGCCCTCATGCCAAGCAACAAACAAGAGAGTGAGACATGAAGTGTGAAATGCAGATTTGGCTCGTACCTCTGTCACACATGGCAACTTATATGTACTTGAAGTGAGTATACTTCGCCACGAGTGTTATTTGCGCACTGTTACTTGAGAAAGTTAAGTCTCACTCGCTGCAAAGTACACTTGCAAGCAAGTGTGTCATCCAACCTTACTTTGTTTCGAAGGCTGTGACAAAGTGTGTAGCCTCGGTACCATTGGCTTGTACAGAAATACGCTGTTGCCTGAAGCAGTGTTCATACTATTTTAAAGCATTGTTATCGTCATAAGGAATACTTTAACTAATAAAACAAGGCATGATACAACAACAACCCTTCCTACTCTCACCCTCAGGCAGATTAGACAAGTCTGCTAGGGGGATGCGGCAGCACAAATGGCAGAGTCTGTCGCGTGTTTACTTCCAGGCATGCTTTCACATGTGTCGGTGAGTTGTTCTGTAGTCATTTACGATGATGTGTGCCACTGGTGCTACTTCCAGGAAGACAACACGGTCCTAAGATGAGTCCTAAGATGAGACACGGGTGTAAAAATAACAAATATATGTTACATTACAAATCGGTCAATTGTATCTGCTATCATTTCCAAAGTACAGTTCGCTTTCTCAAGTAGCAGTAAACTGCCGAAATTTCACTTTGTGAGCGTAAGTACTCTCGCTCGAAGTGCCCTCAAGCTGTCATGCGTGACAAGAGTATTAGCTTGTCACGATTTTACTTCGGAAGCGCTTGCGAAGGGTTGGATTGAAAAAGAGGCAAGAGTCAGCGGTAACACGGCGAACACATTTCAATGCTACACAAAATGGCAAAAATTTGAACAAACCCTTAAAGCCCAATGTCCTTTGCTCCGCATTTCAGGGTTTGCATTGTCAGTTTTTTATGGCCAGGCCTCATTTGCGTATCGGACTGTGTCGTAGTTTCACACCTCTTACTTGCGGTACAAGACCCGATCAGCTGAAGTAGCTCTCGTGGCCCTCGTTCTATCAGCGTCATTGATACTAACGAAAAGCCGTGGCAACTACAACAATGTGACGATGTTGTTTTCAAAAAAAAGCAACAATTACTTGCCAAGTGGAAGACAGTTTACCTAAATCCAAAGTTGTTCGGGAGTTTTCGACAATTTGAAAACAAGGTCAGCCCGCAAGCACCCAAACTTGCGTAGGTGGACGTTGACTATGATGATGATGTGCTGTGCACTCCACATCTACAGTGCAGGTTGTAACAGTGTCTATAGGAATCACCAAACAGTGGCTGAAAATAAAGGCAGACTTGTGCAAAGCGTGCGTGTGTACAGATATAAATGGACAAGATTTTCCGAAAGCTGAGCTGGACAAGGTGTTTTTTCTTAATACTTTTTTTCCTGACTCAGTTATTTTGGCTTTTTGGCAGTGCCTGATAAGTTTCAAGAGTCAACTACACTGTATCGTAAGCGTCGCTGAGTGCTTGTCATAGCATGAAAGATCACATTATATCAGACAGCCGCAGTCTAAAAATTGATGGAGCATCTGAATTTTTCGTTGTAAGTTCATATTATTACAGAAGCGAGTTGGGTCAAAAGTTTCCAGGCTGCTATCCCATGTATTCCTATGGGAGCGTTGCGAGAGTTTTGACCCCCCTGTGCTTCAATGAGATGGGTGACTGTCCCACGAGAATATTCGAATAAATGATAGGCAACTCTTACCTCTTATAAAATGTTGCAAGCAAGTTAGTGAATGAGTTTCTGTAACCGGTGAGCTGGTCAAGCGGAAAACGACCACTACACCACATGCTGCATAGACCGTCACCTTGTGTAATCCTTCCAGTGTGCAACGCATGTTAGTACTACAACAAAATGATGTCATTGTATTCTAAAGACATGTTAACCACTGAGAAAAAGAACTTTGTCATGTTCCCTTGCTGACACTGCGTGCAGAAACTTTCAATGTGGCATGTAGTAAAACTCGTTTTGTATTTCTGGCCGCCAGCAGTGCCTTGCCATCTGCATCACTGATAAAAATTAGGTTATAGATATCAACAAAAAAAGCACATCAGCCATTCTCTGCCAATTATGACTTGTAACAGAAACAAGACTCAATGAATGTCTGGCAGGGTGAAAAACTTATTCTGAATGACCATGCAGAGAGCACTGTTATCAGAGGCGGGCGCAGGGCTCCCGTTTGGGAGGGGGGCGGTAGTCGCAGCACCCCCTCCTTACTTAGCACCTGTACGGGACAAATACTTAGTAGGCACTCTTGATGATGGTTGCCATTGTGAATGAAATTCTGGGTGGCCTCGGTGTTGATTAGTTCATCTGCATGATGTAATTCCCGAGTGGAATAAAACAAATGCGGGAGGATATTTTAGGAAAATCGTGGCTCTTTCAAATCAGACTAAGATGGCTGAGGTAGGAAATGCATAGCCTACAGCAACAGTGTGACGCTGAAAAGGCCCGTCAATCCAGCGTTCATTGCTAGAAGTTTCGCTCAATGATTCCAGCTTAATTACTGATCTAAGACATGAAAATTGCTGGTGCATCAGTAGTGGCTAAATTTAAAAGCATTTTTAATCATTGCACTTCTGCACCCATTGTATCATTGCGCTTAATGTGATTACCTCCTTACCCGATTGTCCTACTTCCTCTCTTTCTGCTGAGGGTATGAAGGTTGATTGATTTATTTGTGGGGTTTATCGTCCCAAAACCACCATTTGATTATGAGAGACGCCGTAGTGGAGGGCTCCGGAAATTTTGACCACCTGGGGTTCTTTAACGTGCACCCAAATCTGAGTACACTGGCCTACAACATTTCCGCCTCCATCGGAAACGCAGCCGCCGCAGCCGGGAATTGAACCCGCGACCTGCGGGTCAGCGGCCGAGTACCTTAGCCACTAGACCACCGCGGCGGGGCAAGAGGGTATGAAGGTTGCCTCTGGCCTGTTATAGGTACCTTTTACTGAACTGTTTAAAAATTATGACACATTGTTATTACACAGTTTCGGAACGAAACATTTCCAGGTTTTCATGCATGTAACATTTAATTTTATCCCTCTCTATGTAAAATCTTTTTGGCAAGAAGCTCAGTTTTTCAATCAACATTGAATTGATCTGGCATCCCCAACGCTTCCTTCATAATTCTCAGCATTAGGGCACTGTTTACTTGTTTATGCAGAAAAACCTAGG